AAAATGTGTTTTTCGACAACAATAAAATAATATTACCTTTGTACAATGTGGTTACTGTTCCAGCTGCAGTTTGAAAAGGTAGCCATAATGAAGCTGCGTCTTGAACACGATCTATTTTAAAAAATGAATAAAAATTCATTGAAATCTTTGAAAAAACAAAAAAAAAAAAAGAAAAAAGTCTTCGCAAAATACGAATTTAATTCTTTGAAAGGCATAAATAAAACAATATCGAAAAAATAATTTTCATCCATTTTTTAAAAATGTCGGTCATTTTAATTAAAAAGAATTTAATTTTTTACCATGTATTTTACAAACCTTTGTAGAGCTGAGCTATAGCTGTAGCAGTATTTTGAAAGGAACACCATATATTATGATTTACAAGTTCTTTTTCAGTCGTTAATTGTCCTTCAAGATCTTGTTCTGCTTCCAGCTGATTTATACATTGCTGTTCCCAATTAGATATATATAAATCAACGAAAGGCTCATCCTCTCGGTCTTCTGTCATTTTATTATTTATTTAGAGTACTTAATAGTTTGATATTATTTAAATAAAAACAAAATAAAATATTTAAGATGTTGTAAACTGTTACAAATTTGTAAATTATTAATTAATGAGAAGCCATTGTGATTGTATTTTTAATAAAGCACCTAAACGGAAGACTAAAAGTAAATACCAGCGAATTCACGTTTCAAAACTTCGCTATAAAAAAAAAAAAAGTGTTCAAAACTTTTGGCGCAATTTGTTTGAACCAAACACACACAAACACACCATTTAAAAAAGAAAAATGTTATTAAAACCTGTTTTATTTTTATTTTATTTAATAGAATAACAATTATTTTAATAAGTTTTTTCTAACAATTTTAATAGATCAGACTTTTAAAACTTATGTCAATCATTTATTAGAAGAATTTTTTCTGCCATACTTACAAATTCACCTGATTATACCTTAAATTTATTGTAATTGAAAAATTAATTTTTTTTTGTTTTAATTTAATTTTATAATGAAAATAATATTTTTGACAACTTCTTACATCCATCTATTGTAAAATTAAAGCTTACATTTATGTTACATAAAATTGCAGTAATAAAAAGAAATTTGAAAAAAAATTAAGTCAATAACTTTTTAAAAAATTTTTTATTTGATAAAATTACTTCAATAATAATAATAACAAAAAAAAAATGAAATAAAAATTTTTAATAAGATTCTATCATTTAAACCAAAAAAAAAAATTCATCAGACTTAATTAAAAATTATTATTCATTAAAAATATTATACTAATAACAATAACAGATTTCCAATAATACAATAATAATATAACATGTATTAAATTATTTATATTTCATTTTTATTATTTTCAATGAAATTATTATTATTATTTTATTTAATTGTTCTTAATGTTTTTTTTATATTAATATAATATCAATATAATCAAAGAAAGATGAAATATTAAAAAAAAAAAAAAAAAAAAAAAAATACTCTCATTGAATGTTGTACTAAATTACATCTTTCTTTTAAAAAAAAAATTTAAAAAAGGATTTCTAAATTTTCTATTTTAAAAGGAAATCCTAATTGTTAAAAAAGAAAATGAAAACATTATTACAATAACCTAATTATTAAAAAAAAAAAAAAAAAAAAATCTACTTTTTCTTACAATAATTCTTTTTTTTTTATTCTATATTAAATTATAAATTTTACTTACATCTTATTAAAAAAAAAAAAAAAAAAATCATTATATATTTACATAACTAAAATAATTTTTTTTTTTTTTACTCTTATGAATAAAAATAATAAAAATAAAAATTAAAATTGAGCATTACTGAAAAAAATTATGAAAAATTTAAACTTTTATTTTTATTTATATTTTTACGTATTTATTTTGTTTATTGAAACATTAATAAAAAAAAAATTAACGATAACACGATATATTAAATAATTATTATTATTATAATAACCCCTCGTTCGTTTTTTTTGAAAGAGAGAGAGAGAGAGAGAGAATTTCGATTTAATTTTTTTAAAAAATTTTAATTTAATTTTTCAAATTTATTAACTAACTTATTAAACTTAAATTATTAAATGTAAATCCTTACTTTTTAAAGGCAAGTCTTTATTTATTTATTTATTTATTAATTATGAAGGTAATATTAATTTAATTGGCAAGAATAATTGACGTTAAATAAATAATAACACAAACTATTTGATAATTAAGTTTGTATTATTTTAACTATGATAATTAATAATAATAATAATAATAATACAATTTGCCATTAAAAAATATAAAATTGTAGAGTTTTTCCAATTTTTTTATATTCATCTTATTAATAATTATATGTTCCAGGTCCTGAGCATATTGTGGCCCGTGATAATAAGGTGCTGGATATCCTGCGTATGCGTATTGTTGCTTTTGTGGATACACTAAAAAAAAAAATTTTTATTTATTATTTATAAGAAAAAAAAAAAAAAAAAAAATTCACGCTCCCTATTTTTTTTTTATTAACAAATGAGAATTTAATAACATAAAAAAAAATATTTTTATATGCAACAATTAATAAATTCTCACAGTTTTATTCATTCATTATAACCTTCGTTATATTTTCACATGCCTATTATTATTATTAAACAAACGCTCTCCATTTTATTTCATTTTTTTTTGCAATTCAACTTCATTCCTCCTTTCATCTTAAAAAGATTTATATTGAGAAATTTATTGTTTTACAATGAATTAACAAATTCATTTTATTTTTTGTTATGAGAATTTTTTTTTTTTTTTTAATAATAATGTGAATTTATTGAAAATTAATTATTTATTTATTTGAATCCGAGGAAAAATATTTTTTTCACCTGGCATTAAATATTGCATATTCATGGCTTCTTCTTTTTCTCTTTCTCCTCTTAGACAAATAGCAGCTCCAGAGAATAAAATTGCACTTATTAATGAAAAACCTACTCCGACCCATGCAACAAAATATGACCAATCGTAGGTAGTGATTGTATTATCACGTAATGCCTAAAATAAATATACATAAATAAATTTATTTCGTTTAAAAAAATTATTATTATCATCATTACAAAAGGAATGATGAAACATTTTAAATTAAATATTCGAATGTGATTGATTTTCAATATAATTTCCCTCCTGGAATAATTATATACTCATGTGTGGGTAGATAATTGATGGGATTTTTGTTTTTAAAAAAAGAAATCATCTTACATTATCCCATTGTTGGTAAAATTCTTCTCCGACGACTTTTTCTTTCTCAAAATATTCAACTCCATGCCATAAACCCATACTTCCAGCACTAAAAAGACCTAAAACAAATAATAAAATACAAATTTTTATTATTTAATTCAACTGAGAAATGAAAAAAAATTTAAAAAAACTTACAAGCAAATAACATAACAATTGCCGTTGCTGTTATATTTCCAGGTGATCTTCTCCAGCATCCAACAACACCCGTCCAAAAAGCAGTGAAAACAGCTAAGAATGATAGAATGAACAAAGCAATCATGGATCGACCCATATCTGCAACAAAAACCACACATAACAAAATGTCTTCTTCCATTACAAACTCTTAATTCATTTTTTTTTTTTTTTTTTTAATAATAATTTTATTCATTTAATAAATTTTTAAATAAGTTAATAATTTACATTAAATAATGTTGGTAAGTAAAAAAAAAAAAAATTTAATAATAGTCTCCTATGTAAGGAGTTTTATTTCTTTCATTTTTATTTTATTATTATTATCTTCTCTCTGCTCATAACAACAAACTGTAAAATTTCATTTTTTAAAATCAAGATTAAAAAGAAAACATTATTTTTATTAAAACCATTTTTATTATTATTATTATTATTACAGGGTTTACAATATATAAAATTATTATTAAGTAAAATTTATTATTAAAATATAATTTAGTTTTATTATTATTTTTTTTTTATCTTTGGTAAATAGGATTTGTTAAAGTCGTTAAATATGATTTTGTGACAAAACAAAAGAAAAATAACATTGAAAAATGTTTAAAAGGGAAGGGGAAAACAAATTTAAGTAATAATTTACTTAATTTTACTTTAGGGCAACATTTAATGATGTTCTTTTCTATCTATCTATCTCTCTCTCTCACTCACTCATTCCATCTACTAACTTTATGTTATGCAACATAAAATTTTCCTAATAATAGTTTTATATACATTCAAACTCAACTTCAAAACTCTTTTTATTATCATTATTATTATTTTATAATATTATTAACTTACGTAGTCTTGTAGTGGCATCATCCGTGAATTCCTTTGTTAAATTTTCTACATCTGGTATGTAATAATCAATGTTTGAACAATGAGTTTCAACTGGACTAAGATAAATTTGTACTGTAACAAAAAATATATATAAACATTAAAAAAACTTTTGGTAATTATTACCCTCGATTGTTCTTAACCAAATAAGACAAACAATTATGACGTCAATATCATCGTTAATATTAAAACAATATAGTAAAAAGGTAAAAAAAAAAAGTAGACTAAATAAATTTTTTAATAATAATAATATTACCAGTTTACGGTTTTGTAATTTACTTAATAATAATAATAATAATAAAAGTTGAAAGGTTATCATATGAAATTTTTTTGTAACTGGAACTAAACAACAATATCTATTGTAATAAGTTCAAAGTAATAAAAAGATAAATTAAATTATTAACCTTTTTGTGTGTGTGCGTGCGTGCGTGCGTGTGCTCTCATATAAATTGAAAAAACAATGACAATGACTTATTATTATCATTAATGATGAATAACAATAAAAATAAACGTTAATTACAATAATTTTCGGTTAAAAAAAAAGAAAAGATTTTTATTCAAAATGGCGCAAACCGTTTACTTTTTAGAAATAACGGCAATTGCATTATGACAGATGTCAGATGACTTTGGAAGTGGCAGCAGCGGCAGCGACAGTGGCGCCTCTCGTTATTTATTTTTAACGGTTTTCGAACACGTTTAAAAAAAAAAAAAACAAAAACATAATGAAGTTAACCGCGTTTTATTTTATTTTTTTAAAATAATTTTTCGCATAATTTTAAAGGTATAATTTATAATAATTATTTATCGTGTGTCGAGTCATATGACGATTATTGTTTTATAAAAAAAAAAAAAGTTTAAATTTCTCTTTAGAATCGAATTTTAATTAATGGAAACAAAAAAAAAAAAAACAATAATTTTTTTTTTTTTCGTTTCTCATGAAAGAAATTCAAAACTACAAACACAAACAACACAAAAATTGTTTGCATGCATAATTTTTTAATAATTTAACTTTCACTTTTTATCCCTTAGTATTAAAATTTTTCTAATATTTCTTCTATTTAATAACAAAAGGTTTTCATTTAAAAAGTCTTCTGCTCTGCATGTTTTTATTTCTCTTAGATTAATTATGCGGTTAAGTGATAATTATAACAAATTATGAGATATATAAGAGTAACAATAATAATAATAATATTTTTATTTATCATTCACTGAATCTCTATATATATATAATTCTTCATGAGTAATAATGCGAAAATTTATTTTTAACCACCAACTTGGTCTAATGTAACATTCATGCTTTGTGATTTCATTTCAAAATAACATAATAATAATAATAATAACAATAGTAATGATAATTTTTAAACTCTATAAGAAATTTAAAAAATTTTCTTTATTAAAAATTTCCAATCATATTCACTAATTTAACGTTTAATATTATTTATTGTAATGGAAAATTAATAATTTATTGATTTAAAAAAAAAAAAAAGATGGCGACGGAATGAATCATCAAATTACAAATTTTTTTTTTCCTTTTTTGTTTTATTAAATATACAACAATTCGATTGGGGGTAAAATGATTTGAATATGAGCAAAAAATTACAAAAAAGTGGTTGTAACCTTCACCCCCCCCCTCAAAAAAATTAAAATCGCATTAATTTATATTAAAAATACGGGGGGGGGGAGAGGAAGGGGGAAATAAACGTCACACAAAGTTTTATTCAAAATGATTCATCCTTTATGTTATCCTATTTCCTTTTTTAAACTTTTTTTTTCTTTTTTTTTTTTTGTGGGGAGTCATTAAAATTTTCTTAATTTCTCACGAGTTTTTTTTTTTATTTTCCCTTAAACTAAAATCTCATTATCGCACTATATAAAACATATTCATTATTATTATTATTTTCGCCAGACAATTATTTAACGAAAAAAAAAAAAAAAAACATTAAAAATATATTAAATATATAAAATAATCACGTGATGTTTCTTTTTGTTTTGTTTTGTATATATATTTTACTTAAGTAATATTTTTATAAAAGTTTATCGAACATCCCACTAAAATCGATTTAAAAAAATAATAATAATAATAATAAATTTTGATTACGTCTATATTTATTTTTCACATTCATTCAAATTATTATTTCACAGTTACAATTATTATAAATGGACAAAAAAGAAAATTTTTTTTTTGATAAAAATAAAACAATGGCGTTGGTAGTAGGTAGAATTATTTTACTTATTTTCTTTTGGTTTCGCCATTTTTATCAAATAAAATAAACTTTGAAATAATCCAACGAAAAATTAAACGAATAGTAAAAATTCTAATTCTATACAAAAAAAAAGATTATTACGATGGGAAATAATGATAATAATAAAATACTCAAGAGTACGATTCGTTTTTAGAATTTTCATAAAAGGCGGTGATTTTTTTCCTTATTTAAATAATTTTTATTTGACCATGAAAATAATAATAATAATAAAATCGATCCGGAACGGATTTTTTTTTTTTTTTGTTTACGTTTCTCACAAAATGTCGTACATAAGTCAATAAATATAAATAATAAATGAAAAATCAAGGTGTTATCGATTATTAAAAATCAACGAAACGGAAACAAAAATGAAAAATGTTTCAAAACAATCCGAAATACTTTTTCCGCGAAAAGAAAAAAATTTTCCTTTTCAATTCAATTCAAGCGAACGTTAAATTTTCAAAAGAATTTTTTTTTTGTCAACGAAATAAGGTTGGCAATACTTTTTGTCGTAATAATTAACCGTCGTTTGCATAAAAGAAACGCAGGTGTGTGTGTGTGTGTGTAAACTCTAATAAATCATTCTTTCAACCGTTAGGATAATTCATTCAAAATCAAAAGACCATTCATTCATTCATTCATTCATTCATTCATTATGTTTAAAAAGACAAAATAACAAAAGAATTTATCCAATAATAACAAGTACAAATAATAATATTTTATTTTGACCAATTTTTTTTCTAACTCTCAATTATATTTACAATGAATGAATGAATGAATGAATGAGTTAAACCTTTAATTGGGGGTGAAAACTCATTTTTTTTTTTTTTTGAAATAATTAAAAGAAGGGTAAAATGAGAGGGATAAAATCTTGTTTTCCTTTCATCGTTTAGTTATTTATGTGTGGGCGATTTTCGCCCACGAGGTAACATGAACGTAAATGACAATATTCCGGATTACATTTTCATTAACGTCTTCCTCGAGAAAACAAAATGGCGGTCGGTTTTGCGTGTTATTCGTTTAATCGTCAAAAAAAATAATTATTTTGCGGAAAGGATGTACACATAATACACGAAATTTTCTTTTTTTTTTTAACTTTCGAAAATAACATTGAGATAATGATGATCTTACATAGAAATTATTTATTTATCTCATCGTTCGCATTTGATAATTTTCGGTAAAAAAAAAAAGAAAATCGAAAGTATGGATTTAAATAAAATTTTCGTCGATTCACGTTTTTTAAAAAGAGTATTTATTAAATGCGGCAATAGACAAAACCGGAAATACAAAATCCGATAAATAATCAAAAAGAAAAATAAATAAATAAATGAAAAACGAAAACCGTTTGTTGTTATTACATATCATTTTTTTTTATTTATAATAATTATTATTTTACAAACTTTCAAAATGATTATAATCGCCATCGTTAGTTAAATTCATTATTATTATTATTATTATTATTATTATTATTTTACTCACCCGATTTCGGTTTCTCTTTCGGATAGCAAATTCTAAATAATCCTTTCGTACGTGTAAAATAATAATATTTATTATTAAAATCTTCTAAAAGAGATTCTTGATTTGCTCTCTTATCGGCAATGTCCTGCAAACAAACAAACAAAAAAAAAATTATTAATTTTTTT